GATAACGAGATAATAAGTCGTTATCACGAGATAACAGTGCATAAAAATAAAAAAAATCCATGGCCGTTCTCGGCTTCCGTAGTTATGCATATAGCAAATAATCTGGTGAAGTTTATATCAGTCAGTATTGGAGCATTTTGTTAATGCATCTTTCATGCTCGGTATATATCATCATGATTTTTGGGACGTTTACGTCATTTTACATAATTTCCTTTTTTGTGTCCAATTTAGGAGGAATTTAGTCTGTCGAACTCCACACACGCAATACTAGTGACTGTGGAATTACAAAAGAGCTCACACTATCATCTTAACACTAATGATATCATAAAAATGTTTCAACATTTAACAATTAATGCCTTTGAACTTTAATTTAAACAATACAATTTTTTGAATACAAGCCCATTAATCATCAATATACTTACATATCACTTTCAGTCAACTAGTCTCTCATGTAACATTTTAACATTTTCAGTAACATTATTTGATAAAACATTGTTTTCTATAACATAACAGGGCTTTCCTGATCCCTGAAATAGATCTTTTTTTTAATCTATCCTGACCTACAATATTTGAGTTGCTTCTGTTCTGTTGATGAGTATGTAACTGTTGAATTGATCTTGGTTGATATGATAGCAGTTTTGTGACTTTTAATCTCATCCCATTACATTCATTATTTTGCCTTTTATGTGGTTCTTTAAAAGCTAAGAGGAATTCTCAAATATCACAAACAAAAATTATTATTCCTGATCTTTTCTTTTATCTTTTCTCTATCTTAGTCTTCAGATAATTTTGGTTTATAATAAATAAGAAGATACAGTTAATTACTGTCTTCATTTTATACAAATGACATATCTTCATCTATTATTTACTGCGCATATATAAGCACAATTACAGAGCAAATTTTAAAACAGATAAAACTTCACTAACCCGTATCAGGCTGTCATCAGCTGGTGTTCAGCAGCAGGGTGACCTGTGGGATGCTGTAACAGTGCAGATGCTGTTGATTGGAGCAGTTCACGCCTACACTCACACACAGGTCAGGGTCTGTCCCCCGCCCCCTCTTCTCTCCCACACACACTTCTTTCTTTCTTTTTTTTTTAACCATCTACATTTCTAGCTAATTCAGTTATCTGGTTTAAACTAACTGGTCTGTTCATTGAACTGAATTTTATCTTACAATTAAGCACAGATTGTTTAATTACCTTTCTGGTGGAAGTCATGTTTATGGCTGCTTGTTAAAAACCTACACAAGGGATTGGAGTTATTCATTAACTATATGTGTCAGCCAACTGATAGAGCAATAGCAATAATTCCCTGAAGGCAGGAGCTTATTCATACAGCAGTGTGCCTTGGGACCAGTGCTCACAGGGAACAACAAGTCAGGATAGATCTCAGTCCATGGGTCAAAGAAGAGCCCAAGGGGAAAAAACATGCAAAATTAAAAGTTAATTACGACTAATTACTTAATTAGTCATAAAGAAAAGTCAGCACCTTCAGGACAAGTCTTTTGACTTTGATGAAAAAAGATGTTAGTCCTTAAATTTAATTCCTCTATTGGCCACATCAGGTTTTTCGGTTCACACTACAGTCAGACAGTTGAACCTCATCAATCAAATTGGGATGTAATTAAAGCAGTGACAAACTAGGTGAATCTCAATTTGAATAATATTAACATGGAGGCTAAAAGGCACATATTACAACTTAGTTACACACCTCTTGGCCCTTGTGAGACACATTTTAATAGGATAGAAATATATCATTTAGAAATAAAGGACACATCTTGATCACCAAAGAACTGGTTAAGATTTATTCTGCAGTGCACATAAAAATAAATCTTAGCATTATCATTACAAATGGAAATGTTAGGGTGTGTTTCTTATATTAAATTCAATAAACCCTCTTTGCACATTGTATAAACTCATCATTAGATTTTGATTGTTATATAATATTAATATATTCTTAAATATCACAAGGCTTTGTTTTCATCATGTCTGCTTTGAGTCAGAATAACTTTCTGCACAAAAATGATGAAACCAGTAAAAATATTTCATTTGTGCTGGGTAGAGAAAGTCCAGCTGCATCCTGAATGTAAACATATTTGTAGTGTAGTCCAAACATTGCAAAATAAGACTTTAGATCATTTATTGTTTTATTTGTCTCAAGGATGCAAGTTTTAAATTTCTATTCTGGATAAGTCTCAGGATTGCAGCAACCAGCACTGTGCTCTCTTTTTTTAAACCTTCTCCCTCAAGAGGCATGTTGTTGCTCGTCTGCTTTGGTTTCACAATCCTTCTTCATCAGTGCAGTGGTGATGATGAGTCTACCCCTGTCAGGGCAGACCCTCAGGCTGAGCTTTTCAACAGGAATGCAGTAGTGCTCGGTCTTGCAGCACATTGCTTTTACAAGAAGGAACAAATATTCAAGCTGCACCGTATTTCATTTACACAGTGAGCTGTGTTTTCACGTTACTTGTTAGGAAACAGGCATCGGATCAGTCTGGCTTAGATTCCTTTAAATTATAATCAAACTTCACTTCATTTATTTATTTTAGTCTGATTTTTTCCCCCATTTTTGTTCAAACACTATGAAACACTATAAGGAATATTCTGTGTCAAGTTCATGTTTTTCAACGTCCCAGAATTTTCTACAGAAATAACCACTTATTTAGATAAGTCCATTGGCATTGTTACTGCACTGTTGGCCCGAGCAGTGCAGCTGTCAAACATTGACCGCACCTGCAGTCTACATTTTAAGACCTGTTGACTCATTGTGCATTTATGGGCCTGGCCACCCACAGTACCTGTAGTTGTACTGTTAATACATGTATGAATAATCAAGTCTAGACAAATGATTTGGTATCACCCAAGGAAAGCGACATATGAACATCTTGTTTATGTCAAATATTTCACAACACCTGACTCAAATCAAACTAGTAGTGAATTTCAAACTCAATAACCTTTTTAAGTTAAGTTTTTTTATTAAGTATAAAGGGTAAAGGGTGTTATAGAGCATGCTGCTCTATAAAGTGCTTATAAAGCCTTAGGGAGGCCACAGCTACTTAGAAGCTGCACAGTACAGTACATATAAATTGTTGTAATACTGGTTCAACATTGCCAAAACTGAATTTTCCTAATGGAGAATCGGTTTGAAGGGACAAGATTACAATTTCAATGTCTTGTGTGCAAAAGCTGAAAATTCTTTTCTGCACCATGCAAATAAATGATGGCGTACACACCTGCCATTGCTACTAATACACATTATAACTCATTTGATGACTCACTGATAGAATGAAACATACTTGTGGGTTGTGAATTGTTACCCTGATAAACGGCATTTATGCTGCAACATGCGTTATTAGTTTCCTCTTAGACTTGTTCCACTCTTTTATTGACTGAACAGTGATCACTCCCAGTCTAAAGTCTCTGGTGTCCGGTAGTTGGGAGAGTGACTCCTTAGTAACCATTGTGTTCATGTGATCTCCAAAGCCACTCTGCTTCCACCTACGTCCTCCAATTCAATTCGAGTTTCACCAGCAATACTGAATTATTAATCATTTGCAAACTGTAATAAAATTGTTGTTAGACAGTAGATTCACTGTGCAACTTTGTGGATCTCAGGGGCAGGCTTTTAGGTGTTATTTTTGGACTGCACTGTGGGCTCTCTGTCTGTAGTCGGTCGAATAACTTGACACCGTTGTGCCATACTGTGGACTTGCGTTTGATGGAGCTCTGAATGGTCTCTGAGGTGAAGTAGTAAATGACCGGATCAAAACAGCAGTTGGTCACCGCTATGCACAGAGCAATGGGGTAGATTGTTCTGACCACATATTCTGCGTAGCATCCCTTTAGGACATTGGAGCGGACCAGGGCGTAGAAAATGAGATTGACATTGTAGGGAATGAAACAGAAGCAGAAGATGAGCAGATGCACGATGATCATCCTCAAGATTTTTGCCTTGTTGAGGCTCCCTCCACGGCTGATGGTTTGGGGTTTCCTCAGTGTCCGTAGCACCATGACAGAGCAGAAGACATTGACCATCAATGGGATGATGAAGCCCACAGTCTCAATGAACACCACCACTTTGGACAGCTCAGCCTTCCACTGCTTTTTAGAGTAGTTTTCAAAGCAGAAGTTTGAGGAGGAGTTGGCATTTGTGGGTGAAGTTGTGTCCAAAAGGAACCCAGTAGGTACACTGCCAGAAAGAACCATCACCCACACTGTCAAGCAGGCCAGCCTGGCATTCCTCTTAGTACGAATAGTTTGGGACCGAAACGGGTGCACAATGGCCAGGAAACGATCAACACTGATGCAGGTGAGGAAGAGGATGCTGCCGTACATGTTGGTGTAGAACAGGGCCACAGATATCTTGCAGAGCACACTTCCAAATAACCACTCACGTTTAATGAAGTAAACTATCCGGAAAGGCAGGCTGAGGACAAAGAGACAGTCTGAAACGACAAGGTTTATCATATATGTCGTGGTCTCGTTCCGCAGCTTCAGCGTACAGGCAAAAATATATACTGCCACCATGTTGAAGAATAGTCCAACTAGAAACACCAGGCTGAAAACTGAGCTGTACAGAGGGTACTTGAAGTCATCACTCTTGTTGCAATTCATGTGATTGTGATTGACACTCATAAGGCTGCTGGTATGAGTTTGTGTGGCACTATACATTTTTAGACCAGGCTAGAAAGTTTTCAACATTTACAGAATAAAAAAAATAAAATATCCTTTTGTATACTTGTCAGTCATAAAATCCAAGTTCAACCATGTGCCACAGGTTGGGAAATTTTACATTTCATTTGAGTAGCAAGAAAAGTCCTGAAATAGTGAAGAAGGCTCAGTTTGTGTGGTTCGGCTTTATGGTGTAAAATACCGAGAAGTATACAGCAACTCCAGAAAAATACCTGTATTAGTATCCAAAGTCCTTTGCATCAGTTTTCTGTATGTGGAGGCTTTCCTGCACGTCCAATAATCCTCATTTAAGTGGAGTTTTCAGTCTTTTCCAGTTGTCTTTCACAGCTGAAGAGAAAAGATCACGTGCCTCTTCTCAACTCTGTGAACAGTCGAGTGGTTCCTTCCTTGTGTTGTTATCCTGTTTGTTCCTGTAGCAGCCCTCGGGGGGTATGGTGATCGTTACTCGTATGCCCCAGAAGTTTTACTTCTCCCTTGCTCCTGCCTGACCGTAAATCAGAAACCTCGTAGCAGGCTGCAAGTCAGAAGCTCCAACACAAATGACTCACTGGGCTGAGGGAGGAGGGAGGAGGGAGGAGCCTTCATCATGGGGCCAAAGTCTTCCCACTTTGTAGATCAGCCTCCTAAAGTAATAGTATGTACAGTATGTAATAGATTTATCATATTTTCTTTATATGATATGACATATGAGTGTTTGGGGTGTTTCACTTTCAATTTTCAAACAAATCAATTTAAATAAAGTTGAACAAGAACCTCATGTTGACAATGAACACAGAACTCTTCCTAATAAAACGTTGCAGTGTTGGTGTCCATTATACGTCACTGATTGCTGTTAAAGTGTGATTTTGAAACATGTCAGTGGCGTCAGCTAGGCGTGGCATGTATGACATCAAGAATGTACTTTGCATGTCAAAACCTGCTGTCTCTGAGAAAATGATCGAGTGGTAAACCACACTCACTCACTTCCCTCTGTGACCTCATGGCCAATTTCTTGGCTGATGGTGTGCGAATGCAGATGTTCACGTTAACCAAATGTTCCCATGTCTTATCGTCATGACCTAAATGTTGATTAGCGAGGACTGAGAGATAAATATGTGTGTATAGGTATGGATTTTCCTATCTTGGTATTTAGTATTTAATTTTTTTGACAAAATGATTGATACTGGAGGGAGTGTGCTTGGGTCCACATAAAAAGAGGAACAGATGTGTTATCAGACCATCGCTATAATTTAACGGTTTAATGGTTTTGCATAGGGACTTTGTCAATGCTGCACTGTTATTAAGATAATATACAGTAATCATATGGGGACCGTGGTATTAAAACAATTTTTCATGATTCATAAAAAGATAAATAAAAATTCAAGTTTTATATGATAGGATTATCTTGTCAGCCCACTTAAGATTGTTATTTTCTCTACATTTAATAAGGAACACTGGAGCGCAAACACACACAGTTTCCCTCATCACATCCCCTCTTCTTGTTCCTCCTGTGGTTTCTTCATGCCTGCAGAGGGTACATTATGTGATAGATTCACAGCAGTAACTCCAGTGATTAAGATAACAACATTTTTGTATCAACTTGTGCTCTCGAATCAGATAAAAATGTTAAAGTAAGTTGCTTTGGTGTTTTGATATTTGCAAAGCTTTGATTGGCTGCTGTAAACTGTATATAGTAATTCAACATGATTGAGATGCACTGTAAAAGTGAAACCGTGGCTTTGGCTTTGTAGATCTGTAAATAATCATGTTTGTGTGTCCGCAGGGCTCGCCGCTGTTTGAGCTTCTGAAACTGGAGAATGAGGGCGGAGCAGCAGAGCAGGTGGAGACTCCAGCCAGTTTCAGCCAACCACTGCAGCACAACCACACCGCAGCTGACCTGTAAGTTCACCGTAGTCTGTATCTGACCTTCAGTTGCTGGTATACAGTGGCTAAAAAAAACGTAGACCCTAAAACCAACCTGCTGTTGTGAAATCATTGTGAATCATAAGTACAAGGTCTTTCATGATACCTTCCGTGACTCACCAGTAGCTTTTGAGCCTCTTCCTCTTCCTGATTTTGAACCATCCAATTATCTGTGGTTTACGTTCAATGGAAACTATGATTTAACGTTTACATGTAACTGACGGAGCCCACCGGGTTTTTCCATTGTCTTTCCAGTTATCTGTCCCCCATGCGCCCGGGGCTTCGCGTCTTGCCTCCCGAGTCCCCAGCCACGCCCAGCTCTCAAGCTTCCTCTCAGCCTCCGACCCAGCCTGCCAGCCAGATGCCACGGCTGCCAAAGTCCAACTCTCTCAGCCTCTTCTATAAAAAATGTAAGATGTCATTCAAGCTCTCACACGTAGTTTATTTTTGATCAGTGCAGATACCTTGTGGGTTAGTTACATTTTCTTAAGACCTGGACAATAATAGATCTGTGGACAACTAATATCTTGGTTACTGACAGCTCCACTTTACCAACGTCATGTTATAACTAAAATTTTGTCTTTCCAATTTGACTGAATAATCAACGTGAAATGACTAAGATATTAATCTAAAAATCATTGTTGTTTTTATTCAGTACACAATTCCTTCAGTTCATTTTTTATTCCTGTTTGCTGTGTCTTTTGCGTCCAACCGTCTCTGTGGTGTAGTGTACCGCCTGGCCTACATGAGGCTGAAGATACTCTGCTCCTACCTGCTGTCCTCCCACCCTGAACTGGAGCCCATCATATGGACCCTGTTCCAGCACACTCTGCAGCACGAGCACGAGCTGATGAGGGACCGCCACCTCGACCAGGTAACCTTTTCTTTCATTTGCTCTTTAAGATTAATTTGTCTTTTTATTTACTCACTTTGGCTCTTGTTCTCTCTGCATCTCTTACCTCATGTTGTCTACTTAGTTTTTTCCTCAAACTGCCTCTCATTGTTTCTTGCAGTTGATGATGTCAGCCATGTATGCCATATGTAAAGTGAAGAGTGTCGATCTACGCTTCAAGACCATCGTCACAGCGTACAAGAACATGCCCAACACCAACCAGGAGGTGACGCCTTTTATTGTTGGTTACTGGCTTTATGCTGTTGGATTGTGTTGAATTGTTTTTAACTTTGCATCTTTGTGTTTGACTGTATGTCGCAGACCTTTAAGCACGTGTTGATCACTGAGGGCCACTACGACTCCATCATTGTCTTCTACAACCAAGTGTTTATGCAGAAGTTGAAAACCAACATTCTGCAGTATGCGTCCACCAGGGTGAGAAACATTCCCTTATTTGAATACAATGCACAATCAGATAAATGTGCCTACTATAACTTCTCGCTGTTGTCTTTCTGTAGCCGCCCACGCTTTCTCCAATCCCTCAAATACCACGCAGCCCCTACAAGTTCCCCAATTCACCTCTGCGTGTGCCAGGGAGCAACAACGTGTACATCTCCCCTCTGAAAAGCCCACGCATGTCCCCGGGTATCATGACTCCTCGCTCCAGGTGAGTTCTGCATATTTGTGGCAGGTCGTTGTTCTCCTTTGAGAGAGAGTGATTGTTGGAAAAAAAGACCTTTAAATTGTTTTTGCTTATGATTTTTCTCATCTGTTTTTTTTTTGCCTTTTACAGAATGCTGGTATCGATCGGTGAATCTTTTGGGGTAAGTGTTTTTTTGTAGCATATTGAAGGTTAATCTCCATTTAAACAAGTGCAAATAAATGATTTCTTTTCCTCACACACTCTGTTTCTCCATTTTGTTCTCACCTGCAGTTGTCCAATCGGTTCCAGAAGATCAACCAGATGGTCAACAGCAGCGATCGCTCCTTTAAGAGGACTCTGGATCTCGGCTCCACTCCAAAGCCTCTGAAGAGGTTACGGTTCGATGTGGACGGGCAAGACGAAGCCGATGGCAGGTTGGTCACAAATGATGTTTTATTCGCCATTCCAGCACCCTGATTTATTAAATGTACATCAACGTCAAAAACTCACACTCACTTTATATAGTTTAATTTACAGCAAATCTGAAAGAGATTCCACACTGATACAGAAGCTTGCAGAGATGAGTAAGTGAAAACCGCTTCATGCCTTTTGATATTTACAGTTCTACTGTCAGTCGTTTAGCTTGTGGATGTGTGTTCCTTTTAATATTTTAATGATTTTATTTTTTTCATGCAGGCTCCACTCGGAGTCGCATGCAGGAGCAGAAGATGAAGGAGGACGCAGAATCAAGGAAGGAGTAACTCTCAAACCTACTGAACTGGCCTGCACTGTTTATCACAACGTGAACACTACTTTTTGTTCACACACAAAGGGAAACACGAGTTTCTCTGTACATTTAGTATTGGATTTTAGTTTGTATTTAACTTTGAAGAGTAATATGTGAATATAGAGGACTTTCTCCTCGTTTCCGTTGATGCTTTAACTGAGTGTTTTAACTGAATAATGAGTGACGTCATTGAATTTCCTTTGAATTTTGACTTGTTGGAGATTAAGTATGTTTGTTTTTAAGAGTGGTATTAATTTGTGGGTGTTTATAAGGAATCATTGTTTTCTCTCTCATGAATGTTCTCAATTGTTGAGAGCGTTATTGATGGACAGCAACACTGCAATGTTTTATTAGTTCTTAAATAATTGGTTGAGTCTTACCACCTTCTTGTGTTGAGCTTTTTTCTTTTTGAGTCTTTTCAAAAAATGTTTTAATCATGATGCAACATCTCATGTGTTCAATCATGATTACTGTCCTCAAAAAGTATAACGTAGTTTAGTTAGTGCCATAAAGTGAGAACTACAGAACAATCAAATATCACTTGAAGGAAAATCCTACATGATTTGCACTCAACCAAAAGTAATGTAGTTTCAAAGTATTTGGTTACACGTACTGTTAGTTCAACTAAAAGTTTTTTTTAATGTTCTCAGTCACATTTTTCTATACATACCTGGGTTATTTTAATCTTTGAAAATGGGGAATTGGAGGATTCTGAAAAAAGGAAGGAAATGTAGCGATGAATAAACACCACATAGAGCAAATTAATATGTGGAATTCACTCCAGAAAAGTATCCCCAGATAAAACATTGCTAGCAGAGTTTTTAAATTAAAATGTGTTTATATTGTACTTTATTGAAGTAGTTTCTTGAAAGTGTAGTAAATATTTCTTTTGTAAGTATTATTTTGGTTTTGTACTTTGTACTAATAGACGTCACTACACGCAGGGATTTGCTTTAGTTGTCAATGACTCCCCATCCTTTGCAGCCAACAGTATGCAATGCCAGTATGTAGGGATAAACCGACTGAGGGAGCACCGTGCAGTTTTTTTGCTTTTAGAGAGGACTGTTCTATTTTGTTCTGGTTTTATAGGCAGTGTCTTATGCTGTCAGTTGTTGTTTTTGGTTTATGGAGAGTTGTGAAGATTTTTGTGATAATGTTTGAGTGTTGGTTATGAAAAAAAAAGAAACCTGACAAAATTGAGTTTGTCTTTTTCTCTCTTTCTTTCTCTTCTTAATTCAAAACATTTGTCACTTCTTGGGTCCATTTCCTGAAAGCATCTCAAAGCTTAAATGATCAGTTAGACCATCCACTCGAGTTTACAACCAGAATAATTCTATTTTTTTTATCACCAAATATTTCAGCAGTGATTACAAACCAATAAAAGGACTTTAACAGAAAATAGATGGTAATCAGCATCAGTCATGTTTTATTATACCTCCTGTTTCTCCAAAAGAATTAAAACAAAGGGTTGCAATGGTCCTTTTCCTCCCTCTGCTGTGCAAAATTATGCTAACAAGAGACGGTAATCAGTCAGGTTTTACTACCGCACAAGACTAGGTACAGTTGTTCTAAGACTGCTCCGTAGAAAATGTATTTGGCCAATGATACATTTCACACAATGTTTGTATTTTACAAGAATTATATTTTATATATATTTATTTATGATGGCACAATCTTTATGGTGAAGTAAATTAAACTTGTGTGGTGTGGAAAGAGTTTGACCCAAACCCATCAACACACATGCAATTAATTGTGAAGGAAGTATTTAAATCCTTTGCTGAAAAAGTACTGATACCACACTGTAAAAATAGTCCCATAAGTATTTAAAGTAATAGTTAATGCAGAAATATTGCCCCACTGACTGTTAAACAATTATATATTATAATCATATTATTACACATGTATTCATGTAAAATTACTGTTGTAGTTTGTTGAGATTCAGCCAAGGACAGCAACTCATTAATTTGGTTATGGATTAATATGCAGATTATTTTATCCATATTCATCCATTATCTTAGTTGATAGACTGTTTTTTAAAAATTCAGAAAAGAAGTCAGAAATGTGTCGCAATTACCCAGAACCCAAATGACACCTTCACAATACTTGTTTGTCCAAACCTATTTTGGATTAAAAATGATTATTATCAAATAATCAATGATTATCAAAATAGTTAATATATTTATAAATAGTTTATAATAGTAATTCATTTTCTGTCAACTAAAAATCGACTAACCAGCTGTACTTGTGCATATGTACAGATATGTATATATATGATTTGTGTGTGTGTTCAAAACTATAAAGTAACATATAATATAGTAACAAAATCTGTCAAATAATTGTATTGGAGTAAAAAGTATAATATTTCCCTCTGCAGTGTAGTAGAGACATAAAGTGGCAAAAGAAGAAAATACTATTATTACCTTCTATTTGTTCTACAGTACCTGAGTAAATGTACTTAGTTACATTCCAGCACTGCATACAGTACAGTTAATGTGACATCTGACTTATTCTACACTTATGAAAACAACAATAAACATCAGACAAGCTTCTCAAAACCATATTGGTATGAAAATAACCAAAGCTGAGAGAAACCTCACAGAATTTTCAACCCAAAAATAGAAATGCATAATTTTAGAAGTGGACTTTCTTGAAGAGAACTGCATGAAGGGAGACTAGTGAAAATAATCAGTCTATCTTTTACTTGCAGCTCCTTGTTTTTCCCACTACTGTGAACTCCTTCCAGCTCCTCTGGGGGAATCGATGACAGCTGCTGCCTGTTCAGGAACAGCTCCCTTAATTGTGCCATGGCAATGTTTCCAATGGGGATACCAGAATTAATTCCTGTTTGAATGCAGAAACAGTTTGGTTTGGGCCCAGCCAAGCATGAAACACTTTGAACCGGTTACATTTTAATTGGCCTTGCCTCATGGGGCATTGAAGTGTGTTATTGAGTTTGTGGGTGCTGATTCCATGCAGTCAGCCGGTAGCACATGATATCAGGACACCAATGTGCTCAGTTCTCCTCTCATTGGAGCGGCTTGTGGAATCACTGATATCTGTCTCCTTGATCTCTGAAGCTCAAAATATCTGGCAAAAATATATTCCTCCAGAGAATGTGATTGTGTGTTCACTTTAGGATCACTGCTCAAAATTGTGCTGTTTTTCGCCAGGAATGGAAAACCTCACGGTAAGCAGTTTTATTTTTGTTCACACGTGCTTTGGTAGAATTTGTAGAGTTTTAAAACATTCAGTTGTAATGAGGCTAAACATTAAGCTGTTTTCTTTGATGTCATAAAATGTGTCTCCATTCATGCACTAATTTGTAGGATGTGCCACGCTTTTTTATTTTGAATACATCCCTTAATTTTCTCATATCATTTTAACATTTTATTCAGCCTTTAATTTCCTCTTTCCCTGATATCTGACATCAATTTCATAAAAATGTGTGAGTGTGCATCTAATAGTGCTGCTAACTGTCCTGTCCCGTCCTTCAGCCAGAACAATGGCGCGAGATTATGAACAAGAAGATGCGGTACCCTCCGGAGCTCATCAATGCCATTCAGGAAGGGAAAACAGAGCTGCTGTGTGGGCTGCTGAATACCGGTGATGGCATCATCCGCCAGCTGGATGACTCCGAGGACCGCCAGTGGAGGGAGGCCCTCAACCTGTCCATCCGCCTCGGCAATGAGGATGCCATGGACGCCCTCCTGCAGGGGGTCAAGTTTGACTTCCGGCAGATTCACGAGGCCCTGCTAGTTGCTGTGGACACCAACCAGCCCAGAGTGGTGAAGCGTTTGCTGGACCGCCTGGACCAGGAGAAAGGCAACAAGATGGACGTTCGCTCCTTCTCTCAGGCCATCTTTGACCATTCCATTGACAACTCCCAGTTTGCCCCTGGTGTGACTCCTCTGACCTTAGCATGCCAAAAAGACCTGTATGAGATTGTCACCATGCTCACCCAAAAAGGTCACGTCATCCCATGGCCTCATAAGATATCCTGTGCCTGCCTGGAGTGTCGCAACGGCAGGCAGTACGACTTGCTGAAGTTCTCCTTGTCTCGCATCAACACCTACCGTGGCATCGCCAGCCGTGCCTACCTGTCCATCACCTCAGAGGATGCCATGCTCCGAGCTTTCAGTCTCAGCAGAGAGCTCCGGAAACTCTCGCAGAAAGAGCCAGAGTTCAAGGTCTGATGACATCCGTAGATATGCCGTCTTACAGTTTGTGTTGGGTGCCTTTTGTTGACTCTGCTGTGGTGCCTCTCTCTCCTGCAGCCTCAGTACCTGGGCCTGGAGGAGCTTTGTCAAGAATTTGCCGTTGAGTTACTGGGTATGTGTCGCAACCAGAGCGAGGTGACCACTATCCTGAACAGCTGTGGAGACGACAGCCAGGATTCCTTAGAGCAGCAGGCCTTTGAGGAGGGAATACCCAACTTGTCACGTCTGCGGCTTGCTGTCAACTACAACCAGAAGCAGGTAGCTGAATGCAGAACCCACCGTCAACCCGGGACGAGTAAAAGACAATCCCTAATTCGTCTCTCCCTGTCTGTGTGTTTGCTTTTGTGCAGTTTGTGGCCCACCCAATCTGCCAGCAGGTGCTGTCGTCTATCTGGTGCGGGAACCTGGCAGGCTGGAGAGGCAGCAGGACGGCCTGGAAGCTGTTTGTCTCTGTGGGGATCTTCTTCACCATGCCCCTCCTCTGCCTCGTCTACTGGATTGCACCCAAGTCAAAGGTCACACAAAAATCGGCAAATGTCGAGGTTTCTCATGCACTTTCTGAAACAAGTGGCACAAGTTACTGCCATGAGAGACATTCAGTTAGAAAACAGAATAAACATCATATTGTCTTTTGTTTTCACCAGGTAGGAAAGATACTACGGATCCCTGTGATCAAGTTTCTTCTCCACTCAGCCTCCTATCTGTGGTTTCTCATCACATTGCTTGGGGAGTCAATAACAATGGAGCTGTATCGAGACAAATTTGCTTCCCGGCAGCAGAACATCCTGCACAGCTCTTTCCACATGGTGTGGGTGGTTGGTGGGTTCACTCTAACTCCCTTCTATAATGTACAAATAGAAAAATCGTGCCTGGAAATTGTTCAAATCAGATGTAGTGTTTACACTGTACTGTCTCGTGTAGGATTCTTCTGGTATGAGTGTAAGGAAGTGTGGATCGAGGGGCTGCGCAGTTACTTCCTGGACTGGTGGAACTGCTTAGATGTGATGGTGCTCAGCATGTACCTGGCTTCCTTTGCGTTGCGTGTGCTTATCATGCTCAAAGGTTTATTCCTCTGCAATGATCAGAATGGCGCAGAGGAGTGTGTCTACTTCACTCAGACTGGTGAGAATATGATACAAGAGCATTTATATAGGGGGATTGTTGGAGAAAAGTTCTTAACGCTGAACTGGTCTGGTTTGGTGCGAAACTGTCTTGCAGTGCGTGAGGACTGGCATCAGGAGGACCCTCAGCTGATTGCAGAGGTGCTGTTTGCAGTGACCAGCATGTTGAGCTTCACGCGGTTGGCGTACATCCTGCCAGCACATGAGTCGCTAGGAACTCTTCAGATCTCCATAGGGAAGATGATTGATGACATGATGAGGTTAGGGCACTCTTCATCCTGCCTCCTGTATTAAACATCTGCATACACATTGAAAGAGCCAATGAGTGTTTTTTTCTTCTTTAGATTTATGTTTATATTGATGATCATTGGAACCGCCTTCCTCTGTGGCATCAACAATGTCTATGTTCCTTATGTCATCTCTCCACATCTTGGCAGGTAAGAATATGAGATTCCTAGATACTGTTGTTTCAGCTCAGTTGTTCTCGTGTAAATATTCAAGCTTATCCACCAGCTGCTGTTACTAACTACCTCAAGAAAAGGTACCAGTCTTGAAAACCAGTCCAAAAATGTGCCAACTCTGCTGGTCTGCAAATATGAGCTCACATGGATAAAATGCGCACTGATGCAAAAACGTTTTCAAAGGAATAGTTAAGTGCTTGCTAATTAACACGGTATATTACATTTGTTTGGTTCCATACGAAAACTAAAATGTAAAAATTTTAATTTGGGCCTTGTAGCTCATCCAGAGTGTGTACTGTGTATCAAGGCTGAGTTCTGACTGCAGCGGCCTGGGCCCTTTGCTGCATGGCGTCCCCTCTCTCTCTCCCCTGCCTTTCCTACCTCTCTCCAGCTGTCACTACTATGTAAATAAAGCCGTCAGTCTACATTAGACTTGTACCATAGTAGAGCTAATCAGCTGAGTCAATGTATCAGCTGATATTAGCTTGCTGCAGATATATTGGCATCAGCATATGGTACACGTGAGCCTGTAATTTACAAGTAAATGTGACCATGTTTGGGATTTAGAACAGTGCTGCAGTTGCATGACAACCGGAGAGCACTGACAAATTTATTTTTCAAGTGTGAAATGTCCTGCAGTAATATTAGCCAATGTATATAGTTATTCAGTATCCATTATCATTTAGCGTTCATCGTGCAATGTTTGTCCTGAAACCAGATTTTTAATAACAGATAAAGAAATTGTAATGATAATAATAAATTTTTCTTATTTTCCTACTGTTTATACTTATCAGCACTTTCCTCAGGCAGTAAATTAATTTACTTATTAAAATAGTGTACAGAAAACAAATCTTACCAACAAGCTCTCTTCACTTTGGCACCCAAGTGTAAAAACGCCCATCTCAAAACTCAGACAGTGTATTGTGTGTTTTTCTTCACCTCAGGGTGAATTTACAGTTTACATCACCATTGTATGAAAACAGCCTCATTATAATAACCCTCACCACTGCACTGCCGCAGGTTTAATGAGACCTTCCACTTCTTATTCTGGACCATGTTTGGCGTGGCCAACCAGGACTACGTGGACATGCCCCAATTTGTGTTGGCAGAGTTTGTAGGAAGGATTCTTTATGGCATCTTCACACTCGTCATTGTCATCGTCCTGCTCAACATGCTTATTGCTATGATCACCAACTCCTTTCAGAAAATCGAGGTAAGGAGGTGCTTTTATTTTACACTTGCAATAAAAGCAGAGACTGGCCCTGACATCTCAACTTTTTTATTCCAGGATGATGCAGATGTTGAGTGGAAATTTGCCAGGTCAAAGCTGTATCTCAGTTACTTCAGAGAGGGCCTCACCATGCCTGTGCCCTTCAACATCATCCCCTCACCCAAAGCTTTCTATTATGTAATAAGGTGAGCTCTAAAAATATAAAACACATTTAACCTGCAGAGACACCATGTTGTTCATCTATTTGTTTTTATACCTCAGTACTCCAGATAGTGTTGGCCGGATTCATTATGTTGTTCGGGTTGTCAGTCGGTACGTTCCATTCGTGTGCACGCGATATCTCAGGAATGCCTCAAGCGAATTTCTTCAATCAAAGATTTTGTTGGTCAAATCAAGTTCACTGTAACATTGCAAAAACATGTTTTTGGCCATAACTCAAGAACTGATGACCATATTTCACAATTGGTTGGACAATAAATTGGTGAGACGTTTGCCTCAAAGGTCATAGTCAAAGTTCATTGTGACCTTAAAATAGGTTTTTAGCCAGAATTTAAGAATTAATTTATGGACAGACAAGGATGTAAACTGTTACTTGACTGGTTGAAGGAGGCACACAATGGCGGGGCAGTAATTCTAGTCTAACTTCTGTTTCAGGGGTATCTTTAGACGGATCTGCTGCTGCTGCAATTGTAATTCTGAGAAGGACTATCCCCCTATAGTCTCTATGGTAAGTGTGTTTGATGTTCACAAACAATAGTAAGTATGTAAGTACTAAAAAAATAGAAAAATTATCTTTTTATATTATTTAAGTTTAATATATCATATTTTGTATTCTTCTTCTTATATTCTGCACTGAAATAAATTATCTTAAATGTCTGTGTCAAGACTAATGGGCAGGAGTCAGATGAGAGCCAGTTACCTTACCGGCAGCAGGTGATCAGAGCTCTGGTGCAGCGCTACATTGAGTCAGCTCGCAGGGAATTCGAGGAGACCAAGAGGAAAGGTAACTATGACTCTGACACAAATCTATCAAAATTATAAATGATATAAATGCTTTTGAGTGGTTTGGAGTGATATTATATGACTGTGATACATCCAGTAAATTATGGAACACACAAAGTGTTCAATATTCAGTAAATAAAAAGACATGTTCAAATTTGAATGAATGTTGAATCTGGTAGTACGCGAAAAATGTGAGAACTGAACTGAAATTGAACACTTTGGGGCTCCATATTAAACCCCATTATTTTTTTGAAAGAATATAATTATTTGCAGCGGCGTCCAACCAATGTCCAATTTAAGCAAACACATGTAGAAACGGAATAAAATGATTTATTCATTCAAGTGACTGCATACTGTGTTGTGACTGGAGTTTTCTCTTCCCTCAGATATCGGTAACCGGATCACTGAGCTGAGCAAAGCGGTCATCAGGATGCATAATGACATCAAAACAGCCCAGCAGCTGATGATTGATGATGGACACACTACAAACAAGGCAGAAGCACTGAACAAGGATGGCTCCTCTATACTGGGGAAATACATCATTGGTGCCAAGAACAACTTCAGAGGTTTTAACACCAATCATGAAGACACATCACTTAAAGTGACAGTGCACAATGGAGCGGAAGGGGTGGATAAAGAAAATGTTGACTCAGATACAAAACAGGAGTCAGACGCACGACAACAGAACGAGGTGGGCGAATGTGGAGCAGAGGGATCAAAGCAGGTAACAGACTGTGATGTGGTGAAAATGGAAGAAGGCAGAGCTAAAGCAGAGCTAGGAGACAACAAGCAAAGTGAGAAAAAGGAGCAAAAAAAAGAGATGGGAGCAGACAAAAATGAAAATACTGATAAAGAAGTGAAAGAAGAGGTGGTGGCAGAGACAAGTTTTAATAATGTAGAAGAAAAGATAAAAGCAGAGGCCGCACAGGATGAGGCAGGAAAAGGAAAGGAAGCAGAGATACTCACAGGGGCAAAGGTCGGGGCAAAACACACAGAGACGACCCCCAAACAAGCTGAAAGCGTCAAAGTCAACAATGAAAAGACAGACGCAAAGAATACATTAAACAAGTTCAAAGACATAGAGCTGCAGGAAAAAAAAGTGGAGGCAAAACGGATGAAGGGAAGAAAGTTTGAGCATAATGCAGCAGAAAAGTCTGGTGTCAGGGAAAACAATGACAAACCTGGAACCAAGAAAATCATTCCCTCGCCAACAGGCAGCAGCAGCTCCCAGGACACGGGTTTTGGTTCCCAAGAAGGGGAGGGGTCGATCGATGGGATACTAGTAAGACCGTAAAACCTCAGTGATGTCCCATTTAAAGGACCACACTGACTTTTTCAGGATTTGGCACTGTGGTCACCTTATCCAATATCCGATAAGAGGGTTTGTGCTAGGCTTTTTTCCATGGCCTGCAGCTTCATAATTTCAGCCCTCAGTGAATTATTCTGCAGTTTTTAAGATCCCTTGACCTCTTGTTTGTAGGACCATGACAAGGTATCTTGAAAACTAAATGCCCTCAAATTAAACGTGAGCTTGCATACAGGATATTTTATAATTTATTGTCATGAACTTTGCTGAGCACATTTTCATATTGTGAGGTAATGATGAATATTGCTACCTCTTGGGGCTGCTAGCACAGCTTTTAGGCTTTTTAAAACTTTAAATATTTAAACTACATTTTGGTAAATATATTCAAATCAGATTTTTAATTTTTATACTATTTTGTTTTTGTACCAATTAAACAAACAAGACATAACGTGTTAATTAGCTTTAGAAGTGCTGGTAGGCTGATTTTTGGTACCCTTAGACAGAACCAGGCAAGCTGTTTCCCACTGTTTCCAGCTGTGTTATGCTAAGCTAACCATATGCTAGTTGCAACTTCCTGTTTACTGTGCAGAGTGGTATCTAACTTTACACCTGAAAGCGGATAAGTATCTCAAAATGTTGAACAATTCCTTTAATCATAATGTTACTGTGAGGAATTTTTCATGTAGTGTGTAGTCACTCAGTGTGTATAAACCTGTAGATTGCTGGTTAATTCTACTCACACCCGCTGTGAAATAAGTGAAATTGGTGCATTGGTCAGTTTATTAAGGTAAGTGTGTCACACCTAGTTGTACCGTCTCCTCACTGTCATTTCCTAAAGTTCACTGTTCAGTAGCAAAGAGCCACTGTTGGTCATTCTGGTTTCTCGTAATATTCAAATATCAGATGAAAATAATTTGGTGTTCAATGAAACAATTAAAACATTTGAAAATACATGTTTCCTGGTGTATTTCATGACCATAGTGTTGGGGAACATTAACTCTGTGTTGACTGAGGTTATGGATTAGGGTTTTTTTTTTCAGTATGTGGCAGACATTGTGACAATGCAGGTCTCAGCTTGCTTTACACATATTGCTCCCGAGAGGTCGTGCGCATGAACACAGCAGTTCATTAATTCATCACCTGCAGCATCACCGGTCCCAAGACACAGCACCTCCAGACTCTTGCACTGCAAAAACACCTTGGCATGTAGCCCTTTGTTACAGTATTGATGCATCACCATTTCCACTTCCTTATCCACCAGAAAAATAAGTGCCTGTTCTACATGCAGACATTGGTATCTCATAATCACCATCCTGTTAGAGCATCCCCAGTAACAGAAAAACTTCATTTCCCTGCCTCTTGTCTCCTGATAAACAAGAAATATTAAGAATAGCATGCAGACTTCTTACCTATTTCTGTTTAGCTAATTTTCTCTCTGGATGTAGAAGATATTTAACCTTAGTAAATATAAAGAAAAGTACTGTTCTTGACTCAATAAATGCAATTCTAAATATGTATAATAACAAAGTATATATATGCTCAGGTTTTGAGGTATATCCAAAGATCACATATTTTGAATATAGTGTAATAAATGAGACTTAAAATTAATGTATCACAAGTTTAATTTACCACATATCTAAAATACAAACATGAAGTTCATTAATGTGGCCAACATATTACAAAACTGTATTGATTAAAAACCCCAAACCCCAAAAAACCCTAAAAAAAGCAATTATTTATTATACCCTATTAATTCCTATTACAGTAATTCTATACAAACATGCATACAACACACACTTCATGATAAAAATCCAACAAATATTAAATAAAAACTGCAAAGAAGACAGTGGCATATGTAAAACACTTCATCATCATATACAAATACTGGATGTTTCCAAAAATATACATTTAATGGGGAAACTAGTGGATAAGGGGAAGTGCGTTTGTGTCTGAGTGAACCACACTTCACTTAGGAGCCACACATTAGGCATTCATCTTTGTTCGCTAAGGAACAGACCATGGCAGCATTGTTTCGCTCTTTGGTCTCCTCCTCATCTACCTCACTGTTGGTTGACTGGGCTTCCTTTAATTTCTCCTTGTTCAGGGTGAACTGAATGGGGTTGGCAGCAGGCTTCGTCCTCAGGTAGTACATGCCAGTCTTCAGACCCTGCAGAGGAGGAGAAAACAGGCATTAAGACATTTATTGGCACTACAATGCAGCATGCATCAAGTCTGCATTCCCTCAGTCCTGACTTACCAACTTCCAACCGTAGAAGTGCATGCTGGTCAGTTTGCCATAGTTTGGTTCAGCAATATGGATGTTTAGGGACTGACTCTGGTCAATGTAAGCACCACGATCTGCTGCCATCTTGAGGATGGTCTTCTGTGAGATTTCCCACACAGTTTTATAGAGCTGCTTCAGATCATCAGGGATCTCCTCAATATCCTGTGGACAAGACGTGTTGTGTCACCAAAAAATATTGTCAAATTATAGTAACTAGGGATGCACAATATATATTGTGGCCAATAAATTGTCAGATAATGGGGAAAAAATACACAATCTAAATTATTGCTTATCTCAGTATTGGTATATTGTGCGTCCCTAATAGCAACATTTAGAGCAGTGATACTGAATAATTTAATCAGTATATTAAGTGTGACCATGTACCTGGATGGACCCATTCTGAGCAATCAGCTGGTTCTTCATTTCATCACTCCACAGTCCTCTTTCTGTGAGGTCCTTCAGCAGGTGAGGATTCACAATCTATAGAAGAGGCAGAAAACACTCAACAACCTTTCCTTCTACAGACACGACTTTGGAGACACAACAGATGCATTCAGTGCTGACCTGAAACTCTCCCGAGAGCACCCTGCGGGTGTAGATGTTGCTGGTGTAGGGCTCAATGGACTCATTGTTGCCCAGGATCTGGGCAGTTGAAGCTGTGGGCATGGGGGCCAAGAGCAGACTGTTCCTCACACCATGCCTGAGGACACACAGGGGCAGGGGAAGAGCTGTCAGGGTTGATCTACAACCGCCACATACAATATACAATATGAGAGGAGAAATATCAACAAGGAAGACCTTTAGGAAGACTTACTTGGCAATTTTCTCCTTCAGTGCTTTCCAGTCCCATAAATCTGTTGGGGTTTTACCCCACATGTCGTACTGAAGGATCTGGAAAACAAAATTAATAGGATTTCAATTTAGGATGTGAGCCCAGACTGCTAAACTGTAACCCAGAATGGATTTATTGAGATTTAGTTGTCAAAACTACTCACCCCGTTGCTGACAGGAGAACCAGCATAGGTTTCGTAAGCACCAAGCTCGGCTGCCAGCTCACAGCTGGCCTCCAGCGCGGCATGGTAGATGGTCTCAAAGATCTGAATGTTGAGCAGCTGGGCCTCTGGGCTTTCAAATGGATAACGCATAAGGATGAAGGCATCAGCCAGACCCTGCACTCCGATTCCAATTGGCCTGTGGCGCATGTTTGACCTTTTAGCCTGTAGTGGGACAGAGAAGCCATTTGTTAACACAGGGCACATAACCTGACTGCATGGCTGATAGAGAAGCAACACTAGATGTAGCATACCTCGGGCACTGGGTAGTAGTTGATGTCAATAATCTTGTTCAGATTCTTGACAATGACTTTGGTGACAGATGCAAGCTTTTTGAAGTCAAAGGTCCTTTCTGGAGTGACATACATGTTGAGGGCAATAGATGCCAGGTTACACACTGCAACCTGAGTTAAAGAAAGAAGAAACCAAATTGAAAACAACCATTAAACAATGTAATGGCTAATGTTAATATTACAAAAACAAGCTAAATATAGTCCCTCACTTCATCTTTGCTTGTGTACTCTACAATCTCCGTGCACAGATTGCTGGATTTGATGGTGCCCAGATTCTGCTGGTTGCTCTTCCTGTTGCAGGCGTCCTTGTAGAGCATGTAAGGCGTACCGGTCTCTGTCTGAGACTCAATGATGGCGTACCACAGCTGCTGAGCCTTCACCACACGCTTAGTCCTGCCCTCCTTCTCATATCTGGGAACAAACAGGAGACAGGTTAGTACCGAGAAATGAGCTGTTTGTTAAGAACAGAGTTTGGTGTGCTGGTCTTACCGAGTGTAGAGCTCCTCAAACTCATCTCCCCAGCACTCGTCTAACCCGGGACATTCACTGGGACACATTAGAGACCACTCCTACAAGAGCAAGGCAGGAACAATAAGACTTTGCACTGTATTGTTCAGGATTTAGCAGGAGGCTCAAACCCAGAAGACAACACACAGTAGATTATAGAACATAAAGCTTAATTCAAACTAAACTATTTAATATTCACCTGATTGCTTTCCACTCGTTTCATGAAGAGGTCTGGGATCCACATGGCGAAGAACAGGTCTCTGGCCCTCTGCTCCTCTTTACCTGTGTTCTTCTTCAACTCTAGGAAGTCAAACACATCGAAATGCCACGGCTCCAGGTACACAGCGAAGGCCCCGGGTCTCTGAACAAGCAAACACAAGACAGCAAGGTGATTAAACTCTCTACCAGATGGGTCTCTATAACAACGTCAAGCTCCATTAAAGTGTGTTTTGTAAATCTTAGTCTTTACCTTGTTGCCACCCTGGTCAACATAGCGTGCTGTGTTGTTGTACACTCGGAGCATCGGAACCAGTCCATTGGAATTGCCATTAGTCTGAAAAACAAGAACCACTGTAAGTAATACAAAAATGACATAATGTGAATTAAATTTCTTCTATATCTGCCTGATTCTAATCCCTGTGCTGTATATTTCACTCACCCCAGCAATATAGCTGCCCGTTGATCTGATACAGCTAACTGCCAATCCAATTCCCCCAGCTGATTTGGAGATGAGGGCACACTGCTTCAGTGTGTCGTAAATACCCTCAATGCTGTCGTCCTTCATGGATAGCAAAAAACAACTGCGAAAAACCCAAATTAATTAGATTATGGGGAAAATAAGTCAAGTCAAGCTTGAAAGAAAGCTTCAGAGATTTGGTCAACGTTGCCTACAAGTGCACATATTTGGTAGTGCTTACCTGGACAGCTGGGGCCTGTTGGTGCCAGCATTGAACAGAGTAGGTGAGGCGTGGGTGAACCACTTCTCTGACAGCAAGTTGTAGGTCTCAATGGCTGCTTCGATGTCTCCTTTATGAATCCCGACAGCCACTCTCATTAGCATGTGCTGGGGCCTCTCAGCAACTACAGAAAAAGGGTTTTCATTAGCAATCACATATTAAATTGACATGAAAGTGAGTCTCTGCGCCCATAAACAAAATCAAGCCTCACCTTTGCCATCAATCTTCAACAAATACGACCGCTCAAGTGTCTGTTAGAGCAAAAGGACGAATTAGATGAATAAAAAATAAAAAGTATCTGCGTGAGATGTTGAATGTAAAATGAAATGAGAAATTACCTTAAAGCCAAAGAAGTTGTAAGAGAAGTCTCTGTCGTAAATGATTGCAGAGTTGAGGCGCTGCAAAGAATAAAGGACGTCATGTTAAAAAATGCTAAAAATATCTACAGTGACTTCAACTTGGAGAACATGAACAAAGTTATCATCAAATGTGACTCACAGCCTTGTTTTCAAGGATAATGTCAAGCGTCTCCTTGGAGATCATGGGAGAGTGACGTTTATTTAATGGGTTCACATAGTTGTACAGGTCTTCCATCACATCTACAAAAGCAAAAAGGAAACAATAACTACGACTGATTCATGCCTGCGTGTCCTGTAAAGATCACTTCCAACAACAAAATGATTTGTTTTAGGGGAAAAGACCAAGGATAAATTAATGTCAAGTGCATTAATGGTTGATTTAATTTCAGTGCAAAGTCATACCTGTTTTATTTTTTTTATATTCATATTTGTAATTGCCGCTGTAATACTCGCTTTGCTGACACGTTGCCCCCATTTCTTTCATTGCTTTGTGCTATTATATATCTACAACGTGCTACATGCTACATTAAAAAAAAAAAAAAAATTATTGTATTTATAAATACATTCATTACAACTAACTTGCAAGAGTGCATTATATTTAGTAACTTACCACTGAATACTTTCTTGGTCTCTTTGTGCAGGTTAGACACAGCAATTCGTGCAGCCAGGAGTGCATAGTCGGGATGTTTGGTGGTGAGGGTGGCGGCGGTTTCTGCTGCCAGTGTGTCCAGCTCCACGGTGGTGACCCCACTGTACAGACCCTGGATCACCTTCATTGTTATCTGAGCCTGTGGAAACACAGATCAAGGGTTACACATGGTGGAATATCACTTTTAATGTTAATAGGATTTCTGTAACGGTAACGTTATAGTGGTTTGAACTCACAGGATCCACAAAGTCAGAATTGAGTCCATAGCAAAGCTTCTGGATGCGAGATGTGATCTTATCAAAAGTAACTCCCTCCTGGCGTCCATCTGAAATCAGAATCAGAAATACTTTATTGATCCCTGTGGGGATATTGGTTTGTTACAGCTGCTCACACAGAATGCTCACAGAATATAAAGAATAATTATATATTACAATATCTAACAATATATATAGAATATAAATGTATACATAGGAATATACATATAAGTAAAAAAATATATAAATATAATAAGAGCCTAAGAATGTACCTTATAACAATATATATATATATAACAATAGACAAAAGTAAATGTATGCCACAGTATGTGACCTCCTAAATGCAACAAGATAACATTATTAGTAATCAAACTTGATCAGTTCGTTAAGTATAAATTGTCAGGATAGTTGATGAATATAATTTCAGTGTTAAACATAGTTTAGAAATATCAGTTCCATAGCTGCTAATTTCAATTCTCTGTCCGGATCAATTAAGTGAGATGCACACCTGTCTAACCAGTTCTGTGACAACAAAGGGAGGACACCTTGTTACTTCGCGCCATTACCACAGATGCCAATATATGATAAGATATATATACAATATATATAAATAATAATAACCTTCTTCTTACACATTTCTTAAAGAGGGAAGTTTGTCGGCGCCTTTACTTTGAAAAACACCGGGAAAAAAGTTTCAACATCCACAGCTAGAGAGAGATATCAGGTCAACAAGCGGGATAATATATTTATCTACTCTAAGTCTCTCCTGCGTCGCTTCTATTTAAAAAACATATCATGGTTTAGTTGTTCTTAAAAAAATGACAAAACAAGCTACAAACCTGCAAACTGAGAAAAATAAACTGTCAGCTTTTGTTCTTTCATAACTCAAGTCTTTGTTCCTGTGTCTCGACAGAAACACAAAGAAACAAATAAACACATTTTAATGTGACTGAAACTGACCTATAGAATAAGTGCGCCATTTCTTTATCGCATTAATATCTATCAGACACATTTTAAGAGTTTTCCAGGACCTTTACATCCCCCCTGCACCCCACCATTACATTATCCGACAGGACTTGACAGCAAGACTATTAAAGTTTGCTACTGTACCTCTTTTAATCACATGCATGGTGGCAACAAAACAGCTGGTTTCCTAAGTCAGCAGGTGTTGATGTTATCTCCTCAGCTGGACGCGAGAAACGAATAATGACAGCGGCACAGAGTTATTTATTACACGGTGAGAACAACAGGTCTGACACAGTTGAATCTCAAACTGTGAGCGCCAACTATCCACCAGCCGGTTCACAGCGGCTCAGCCAATCAGAGGAGACTCCAGCGGACGGTTCAACCAATCACAATCCAGCACAGAGACCTTTTACAGCTTCCGGTCGTCGTTTCTGGGTGAAATGTGGCGGGATATCCAAACAACAGGTTTTATAAAAATGTAATTATCTGCTTTAGTGCAACAGCTGTTTATTGCAAACAATACTAATTATAATAAACGCTCCAACAACCACAATGTCACGTAAGTTATGAACTGACTCACAATATGTTATGCTTAATAACTATTACTAATAGATTGTTAGGTTACATTAATACACAAACTGTGCAATATAAACATAATGACAAGACTGGGGTGACTAACACTTATAATTTTATAAATTATAAAAAGCCAATTTTTATTGGCATATTCAGCATTAATGGTCTGATTAGTTTTATCCCCTCACAAACATACCAAATTGAATAAGTTTAGCTCAGTGTAAATGTCAAAAACATATTGTCTAGGATAAATCAGTAGACTCTTTAACACAAAGTCATAAGTTTAATATTTGACCATATTGTCAATGCCATAAACTATTTTAGTATTAGACTCTATTAGTATTAGACTCTATTAGTATTAGACTCTATTAGTATTTGACTCTATTAGTATTTGA